CACTTATCAGCAGTTTGGAATCAAAGAAGAGGTTGGATGGTAAATAATACCATTTGGAATTTCGAACACAACTTTAATTTTACTTGGCACTGCTAACATCCAGATATAGTAGTATGAAATTCGAAAACTACTTTTGATTAAAAATTTGTAATTTATTTATTATTATGTGACGCTGTTGGTTCTGGTTGTGCAGTCACATTTGATTAAGTAGTTGTATAAGTTTCGAAAACTACTTTGAATAATTACACTTATTTTCTGGGACGCTGTTTGTTTTGATAGCACAGTCACTTGTTGAGAGCTTATTAAAAAATTTAACAAATGATCAGACCGCCAGCTATTTCGAATCCGTATTGTTGTAGTTGCTCCTTTTATTTTCAATAAGAAAAATAAATGGTCGGACCGCCAGTTTACTGAAGATTTAATAAAAAAGACTAGATCACAGCAAAAACAGAACACAGCGAAGAATAATATTGAATAATGACTCTTATTATTGAAATCATATTGTTGTTATTGCTGGATTCAGCTAGGTGGTGGCTTTTTATTTTCACGAGAGATTAAAAAGCTTTGATGAGGCTGACGAAGTATTAGTGCAGCTTGATGTATTCACATATTCATATAGAGATGCATTATCAGAGAGATCAATCCACATAGTATGAGTAATGCAGCGTGGTGGTTAGCAATTGATTGATGTGTTGGTGCCATAAAATGTATGATTCAGTTGGATGTATTAGAAGTGGTGGATTTACGTAGTGTCAACACAGATAAAATACAGATGCAATAGTGCAGTGAGTAGGCTGTTTGTGTGTAATCTGCATATACACAGAACAGGCACATTATAGTAGTGTGCGCACATTAAGAAGCTCACATGGAACATTTTTAAAATAGGTTAAAAATTGATTGTGAAAATTAAAAATTATAGGCGCACACTACACATAAATAACATATAACTTTTGCCACAACGCTTATGATTCAATTTATTCCAGCTTGGTAGGGTTTGGCATTCACTTTGAGATAATTTGGATGTGCACATGGCGGATTAACGTATGGGAATAAAAACTTTCACATTATTTAATTTTCCACATAATAATTAGCCACAGTCAAAACTAATGATTTAATTGTTCGTAGTATATAATTTAGTAACTTCTTTTTTTTTTCCTTTTTCAATGCATGCCTGCGATGGGCACTTTTTTTTTTTTTTCAATGCATGCCTGCGATGGGCACCAATAGGACTGTTACCGCTACTAGAGCGGGTTCAGCTTTTTATTTGTTTAACGTACAGTAATTACTTATACTAATACATTTTATACAAATATTAAATAAAGGTACGAAGCAATAATAAACAGGCTTATATGTAAATGAATCACTAACAGAAATGTAAACATTCAAGAACAAAATTTGGAGTAACATTGAATAATAATATAAACGGATTCATTGGAGTGACTTAAATTTATACAGGCTTAATAAAAGATGAATACAAAATCAGAATTAATTAAGTTATAAATTATTTCATATGAATTTAGCGTCCAAGCGCCAGCCTATAAACCTGGTGGCCAAGCAGAGGTCAAGCGCCAGGAGAAAGAAATGTGAAGTGAAAAGCCGGTACACAGCAGCGGAGTAACAAGATAGTAGCTGCTTCTAAAGCTAGGACACAGGTGCAAACAGGAATCACAAGTGAGCGTAAACATAAATAGGCAAGATATATAAATAACATTGAATAAACATATTTAAGGAGTCAAGAAATTTGTGGAATAATAACTAAGTAGTAGCTGTAGAATAATGTAACGTAGCAGCGGCGAGTCCATTTTTGTATGAACGTAGCGTCAAGGCACCGACCTATGTTCCTGGTGGCCAAATCAGAGGTCCAGCGTCGAGAAGATGGGGAGTGTATTGAAAAGCCGGTGCTCCAGAGCAGAAGAAATTCATAGACATCTGTAGTTTGAATTCGTCAGGGATGAGTGAAGGAATAAAGTCACATATTGATGATTTTTGTTAATGGCTTTAAGAAGATAGAGTAGTAGCTGAATAAAATAAGGTATTAAAATTTTTTATAGTATTTTATTCGAACGTAGCGTCCAGATGCCGTCTTGTGTTCCTGGTGGCCAAATCAGTAGTCCGGCTCCAGAAGGAAGGAAAGCGTAGTGGAGAGCCGGTGCACCATGGCGGAGTAGCTGGGGTTCCTCCAGAGAGTTCCTCAGAAGAGCGGCAGCGATGTCAAGATTTAGGAGTCATCTAGTAGTTTGGAGTCGCAGGTGGGAAAGGTATGGCTTTTCTGCCTTCCCCGACAATCAGTGCCATGGAATTTTTCTTTTAATTTATTAATTATTAGCTGGCCAATCTGGCAACAGCGCACAACACCGATGTTTACAATTTTATTCTGATATGCAAGTAAGCATATTAGCTTTTAGGCATAGTAGTAGAAAAGTAGGAATCACAGTAGTAGTAAATCGGATGGCAATAGCAGCAGAGTATTAAAACACTTATCAGCAGTTTGGAATCAAAGAAGAGGTTGGATGGTAAATAATACCATTTGGAATTTCGAACACAACTTTAATTTTACTTGGCACTGCTAACATCCAGATATAGTAGTATGAAATTCGAAAACTACTTTTGATTAAAAATTTGTAATTTATTTATTATTATGTGACGCTGTTGGTTCTGGTTGTGCAGTCACATTTGATTAAGTAGTTGTATAAGTTTCGAAAACTACTTTGAATAATTACACTTATTTTCTGGGACGCTGTTTGTTTTGATAGCACAGTCACTTGTTGAGAGCTTATTAAAAAATTTAACAAATGATCAGACCGCCAGCTATTTCGAATCCGTATTGTTGTAGTTGCTCCTTTTATTTTCAATAAGAAAAATAAATGGTCGGACCGCCAGTTTACTGAAGATTTAATAAAAAGACTAGATCACAGCAAAAACAGAACACAGCGAAGAATAATATTGAATAATGACTCTTATTATTGAAATCATATTGTTGTTATTGCTGGATTCAGCTAGGTGGTGGCTTTTTATTTTCACGAGAGATTAAAAAGCTTTGATGAGGCTGACGAAGTATTAGTGCAGCTTGATGTATTCACATATTCATATAGAGATGCATTATCAGAGAGATCAATCCACATAGTATGAGTAATGCAGCGTGGTGGTTAGCAATTGATTGATGTGTTGGTGCCATAAAATGTATGATTCAGTTGGATGTATTAGAAGTGGTGGATTTACGTAGTGTCAACACAGATAAAATACAGATGCAATAGTGCAGTGAGTAGGCTGTTTGTGTGTAATCTGCATATACACAGAACAGGCACATTATAGTAGTGTGCGCACATTAAGAAGCTCACATGGAACATTTTTAAAATAGGTTAAAAATTGATTGTGAAAATTAAAAATTATAGGCGCACACTACACATAAATAACATATAACTTTTGCCACAACGCTTATGATTCAATTTATTCCAGCTTGGTAGGGTTTGGCATTCACTTTGAGATAATTTGGATGTGCACATGGCGGATTAACGTATGGGAATAAAAACTTTCACATTATTTAATTTTCCACATAATAATTAGCCACAGTCAAAACTAATGATTTAATTGTTCGTAGTATATAATTTAGTAACTTCTTTTTTTTCCTTTTTCAATGCATGCCTGCGATGGGCACTTTTTTTCTTTCAATGCATGCCTGCGATGGGCACCAATAGGACTGTTACCGCTACTAGAGCGGGTTCAGCTTTTTATTTGTTTAACGTACAGTAATTACTTATACTAATACATTTTATACAAATATTAAATAAAGGTACGAAGCAATAATAAACAGGCTTATATGTAAATGAATCACTAACAGAAATGTAAACATTCAAGAACAAAATTTGGAGTAACATTGAATAATAATATAAACGGATTCATTGGAGTGACTTAAATTTATACAGGCTTAATAAAAGATGAATACAAAATCAGAATTAATTAAGTTATAAATTATTTCATATGAATTTAGCGTCCAAGCGCCAGCCTATAAACCTGGTGGCCAAGCAGAGGTCAAGCGCCAGGAGAAAGAAATGTGAAGTGAAAAGCCGGTACACAGCAGCGGAGTAACAAGATAGTAGCTGCTTCTAAAGCTAGGACACAGGTGCAAACAGGAATCACAAGTGAGCGTAAACATAAATAGGCAAGATATATAAATAACATTGAATAAACATATTTAAGGAGTCAAGAAATTTGTGGAATAATAACTAAGTAGTAGCTGTAGAATAATGTAACGTAGCAGCGGCGAGTCCATTTTTGTATGAACGTAGCGTCAAGGCACCGACCTATGTTCCTGGTGGCCAAATCAGAGGTCCAGCGTCGAGAAGATGGGGAGTGTATTGAAAAGCCGGTGCTCCAGAGCAGAAGAAATTCATAGACATCTGTAGTTTGAATTCGTCAGGGATGAGTGAAGGAATAAAGTTAACAACAGGCTTATATATGTAAATGAATCATTAACAGTCATGTGAGAAACGCAGGAATGGATTTGGAATAACATTAAAGAATAATACAAATGGATTTACTAGAATGACTTAAAATTTATACAGGCTTAATATAGGAATTTCAGTTGACTAAGAAAGTGGAATCCAAGCTACGACCTAAATCCTGGAGGCCAAATCAGAGGTCAGAGGGCTGGGATGATAGAGATTGAATTGAAGAGCCGATACCCAATGGCAAAGTAGTTTGTTGGAGGCTACCGCAGAAGTTAGGAGATTAGGTATCCAATAGATTAATAAGACGCAGATGTATATAAGTGTATCCGGGCAACTTGGTGGTTTAGAATTAACGGCAGGAATATAGAAGTCACAAAAGATCGCTTATATGTAGTAATACAGATAAATTAACAGATTCATAAAGCTATAGTGGTGGGTTCATAATTGAGTTAGCTAAATGAAAAGTATATTGACACATTAAGCATAGCAGCCAAGCGGTGATTTGAAGTCCTGAGGGCCAAGTCAGAGGTCACAGCACGAGGAGGTGAAGAACGTATTGGAGAGCCGGTGCACCAGGGCGGAGTATCAAGATAAAACATCTCCAAGAATAGAGGGTACCTGAGATTTAAGGAGAAGTAAGAAAGGAGAAAGGTATGGCTTTACTGCCTTTCCCGACAATCAGTGTCATAAGTATCTTATTAGTTTTGAGTTTGCCTGGCCAGTCAAGAGCCAGATAATGTTTCCAAATCCAAATGTTAAGCAACATGCTGCTAAAGCATCAAGGGACAATGTTTCCGACAAAAAGTCTGGTTTCTATGGGTATAGCATATATTGGTCTCATTCTAGCCGCAGTGTGTAGGCATAATTAGTAAAAATAAGAAGAAGAGACAATTTTCAGTAACCATTATTGTTTACGTTTTGACAAAACGTGGAGTCGTGAAAAATAAGAATATTAATATTTAATTCAAATTAGTAGCAGTATGCTGCGGTTAATATTATTATCCCACAGTGGGAAACAAGAGTCCTCATCATGGCCAGTCGTATCGATAGAAAGGTGGGCAGACAACCTTGGTATGTAAATAAATTAATTGATGAAAACGATTTTAAATTCTTTGTCCATATTTGGCTAGATTATTCTTGGACTTTATGAGTAATGGATTCAGTTAAAGTTGAGAATCCATCATGTATCTTGGCAGCAAATACTTCACGATCCCTTGCAGGGGCTGCTACATGAAAGTCAACCAGGATGATTCATTATACATTGCTTATGGAGGATTAAATAAGTTGATGTGGATTTGATTCAGATAAGAATAAATAATGATGGCAGTAAAGTAAGATTAAACTAATCAGTTCCTTATTTATTTAGTGAAACATGGGAAAAACAGGATCAGTTGTGCTGAGCGAAATTAAATCGTTGTACGTTGAACCAATCAACATCACACGGGATGATTATTCATTAGTGTCCCAGAAAGCTGCAATGGCCGGATTTAGTAGCAGTTGATCATCAGATAAATGTGGCGAATGACGAGTTAATAAAGGAATCTGTGGAGTAACGACGTTTGAGGTGCTGGAAGAGGGTACAGTAATTATGTCTTCCCTAGGCTGATCACAGTCAAGAAATTGATCTAACTCATTTTCAATTTGCAGCTTCAAGGTGGCTAACCTATCATCAAGTTGCTGTTCAGGAGCAGGTGGCGGAATCTCACTCGGAGATAGAGGAGTCATGATCAAACGTTGGATATATTCTGGCTGATTCATGATTTTCTGTGCCGTGGCAGCACCACTACGAAGCCTTCGGGATAGGGTATTTACCCAAAACATCGAGGGACGCATTGAAGGATTCCGTTCTAGCTCAAGACGCTCACGTTCAATTCGGGCTTCAGCCGCTTGTTTCGCTTTAAAACTATTATGTAAGTCAAGTTGCTGTTGCTCGAAGCGTATTAAAGTAGGAAGTTGGTCCAGAAAGGTAGAATGCAAGTGTTGTGAATGTTGTTGTTGCGGGAGTACCTGCCGCAAGGGAAGGAAGTGTTTTTCAATTTGGTCTTTGTATCTTGGCCTATCAAGTCTATCAGGAATAAAGAGATCAGATAGGATACGTCTAGCCTCAACATTTGGATGAGAAATTAACGAGGCTGCAAGTCTGCCGCTGGATTCAGTGTAGACTTCTTCAACAGATTTAATATTATACAGGTCACGTATAGTTTGATTCCTAACATATCTACCGGATTTAGAAATTTTCCGGAATAGCTTGCTATGTGCAGACTCCATCTTCTGAAAATTAGTATTAGAAATAAGCGCACCCCAAATGGGTAAGGCATATTGCCAGATGGGGGCAACAATTTGTTTGTACAATAAGATTTTACTTTCTGTAGGGAGGCTGCTTTTGTTTCCAATGATCCAGTTTAAACTAATGGTAACTGAGCGAATCCGATTTACAAGCATATTAATATGGTGATGAAGAACAAGCTTTCTATCCAATATGAGTCCAAGGTATCTATGTTTAGGTTCGTTTTTAATAAGGACACCATTCATCTTAGGTGATTTAGGCCCAGTTAGGGTGGAGGTAGAGCGTTTTGTGAAGAGTACATGAACCGTTTTTCCTGGGTTAAGAGTAATACACCAATCAGTGGCCCAGCTAGTAATGTGACTAAGGAAAAATTCATTGCAGTAAATGGCTTGGTAAGCTTCCTTCCTGGTACAGAGAATAATGGTATCATCCGCATACGTAGATAACAGTGTGTTGATAAGACGTTCAGGATTGTATACAGAGTTATGGTTGATAACTTCAGGAATGGGCATATCTGAGGTGAAGACTGAATAAAGAATAGGACCCAGAACACTCCCTTGTGGAACGCCAGCTTTAATATTTCCAGTTTTGGATGATGCTCCATTTATTCCATTAACAGTGAACGTCCGATTAGTTAAGTAGCTTTCTAAGACTTTGTATAGTGAGTAAGGGAGAAGGTTAGCTAGTTTTGATAGGAAGCCCACGTGCCAAACTCGATCAAAGGCCTCACTCACATCTAGAAAAACAGCAGAACAGAAAGAGTTTTGCTCATAGGCAGATAAAATGTGTTGAGTTACGCGTAGCAACTGCTGTTCAGTACTGTGCTGTTTTCTAAAGCCAAATTGGTGAGAGGGAATGGCTTGCTCAAAGTCTTGGCAATGAAACATTCTGTCCAGTAGAAGTGTTTCAAATATTTTTGAGAAACCAGCTAAAAGACTGATAGGTCTGTAGGAAGCAACTTCATAGGGACTTTTTCCTGGTTTCTTAACCATAGTGATTGCTGCGTGTTTCCATTGCCTGGGGAAGTGGCCGTGTCTTAGAATACAGTTGTAGATGTGGGTAAGATAAAGGATAGCTTTATAGGGAAGTAACTTGATGACATTATTGTCAATGAGATCTGGTCCAGGAGCCTTTTTGTTTTGAAGGAGTTTTATATTGGACTGTACTTCTCTAGGTGAAATAGGTCGGAAAGGGACGCCAATGCTGTTTGATACATTGTCAAAGGATTCACGATAGATCCAACTGGGTGCAGCCATTAGGGATTTTTGGAGGCAGACTTCTTCTTTTACGGCAAGAACTTTAGCCCTGAACTCAGGTGTGTTGGTAAGTTTTGGTGAGAACCTTTTTTCCAAGTGATTAACAAATGCGTTTAATTTATCATCATTACTTTTAGTCCAGGTGAATGAGTCATTAGCACTATTACTATCATTATCAAAAAATTTGAGTGGCCAGTTGGGTTCCGGTTGTCTTTTGAAATGATTAGTGATTTTCCAAAGCTTTTGAAATCGATAGCGATCTAGTGGATCAATTTTATTAAATAACAAATTTGTCCTTTTAAGTTTTTCTTCACGTAGAGCTTTGGTAAAACGCCTACAAGCAGTCACGAAATTTTTCCAGGCAGTTGGAGTTTGCAATGCTAACTGAACGCGTTTCATATATATCTTAACATCTTGGAGTCTACGGAGTTTATGATTTAGTGGGATATACCCTGGGCGAATAGAGTGATGAGTATTCATATAGCGAGTAGCTAAGGAAGCTGCATGGTAGATGTTACGGTTTAGGATGTCGATCGCATCCTCAATGTCTTGACCACTATTAATATCTGTATTTAACAGAGTAAGTTCTGACAGAGTATTCTGAAATTTCTTTATTTTGGAACCAGAAGGGAGCAGCCGGTGTAGTTTTTGAGTGTGGTCAATATTGCCCCTAACTGAAAGCTTAACAAATATTGGTAAGTGATCAGACCTCAGATCAACTACTGAGTGGGTGAGAGTTCTATCACAGTGAAGGCCAGAATAAACTGCAAAGTCTATAGCTGACGGATTTTTCCTCTGATCAAACGGGAAATGAGTGGCACCACCTGTGGCCAGCACATTCAGCAGAGCATTTGAGTGGATAGATTCAAGAAGAGACCTACCCCTAGGGCAAGATCTAGGATTACCCCACCAAGGGTGCTTAGCGTTCCAGTCTCCACATAGTAAGAACTTTGAATTTTGGATAGGGCTTTAAAGTGTGCAAAAAGCCTTTGAAAGTGTCCTGTGGTCCAAGAAAAGATTGGCGGGCAGTAGATAGGACTAATAATTATTTCCTCAGAATTTGTAGTGTGTAGCGAGATCGGTGCACATTGAAGAAATTCCTCCTCAATGGGCTGTAAGGCAATGTGCTTTAGTTTAGCATTTACATAAGTAACAGTTCCCCCTTTTCTATCACTAGAGGGATGGAAAGAGGAGTACATTAGGTATCCATCCATGTTATAAGGACTAACTGATGAAGGGTTGGAGCCAAGATTTATAGGTAAACGACTTTCAACAACCAACATTATGTCAATGTTATTTAGCTTCACAAAAATTCTAATTCAGACATTTTATTGTTAAGTCCACAGGCATTCCAGTAGGCAATATTTATAAAATTATTATTATTTAGTTCACTAGTGGGATTACCAAGATTCTGTGGCAACCTACAGTGCACATACCTTTGCAGCGGGGTTGAATAGTTGGCAAGAGGGTGATGACCAATGGGTGGCGGAGTCATAATAGGTAACTTAGTACAGCTTCAATAAAATTTTGTAATAAGGTAGTTTTAATGCGTAATTCTCTTTATAAGATAAGATCCATAATATTGTAATTGCTGAGTTAGAGATGATGGTTTACGTAACTCCACGCGCCAAAATATAGTTTCATAAAAAGATATAGATGTAGTAGAGCAGGTTGCTGCATTAGTGCAGTAATTTTGGCAGAGGAGTCAGATGTATTAGTGCAGCAAGAAAGTATTGGTGCAGGATTAATGCATAAGTATAGTTTGATGTAATATTACAGTGGTGAGTTTGCACACGTCGACACAAATAAAATAGTAGCAATGTAAGTGAATAGATGTGTGGAGAAGTCTGTGCATGTGTATACAGCCACATACACAGAACAGATACTTTTGGTAGTATGCGCATATTAAAAATCCACGTGGAACAGTTTTTAAAATAAATTAAAAATTGGTAGTGAAAGTTAAAATTAGAAGCACACACTACACATAGGATTAAAATAGTTTATATTGCCACAACATTATATAATTATTGATTCAGATTGTGTTATGGGCAACATGTGCACATATCAGATTCAGAGTATAGGTGTAGATTAAGTACGGAAATAAATGATATCACTTGTGAAGATTAGCCACAGTCGAAACTAATGTATTAACTTTTTTCTTTTTTCTTTTTCAATTTTTTCAATGCATGCCTTTTTTCTTTTCTTTTTTCAATGCATGCCTTTTTCTTTATTTTCAATGCATGCCTGCGATGGGCACCAATAGGACTGTTTCCGCTACTAGAGCGGGTTCAGCTTTTTATTTGTTTAACGTACAGTAATTACTTATACTAATACATTTTATACAAATATTAACTAATATAGAAAGCAATTAACAACAGGCTTATATATGTAAATGAATCATTAACAGTCATGTGAGAAACGCAGGAATGGATTTGGAATAACATTAAAGAATAATACAAATGGATTTACTAGAATGACTTAAAATTTATACAGGCTTAATATAGGAATTTCAGTTGACTAAGAAAGTGGAATCCAAGCTACGACCTAAATCCTGGAGGCCAAATCAGAGGTCAGAGGGCTGGGATGATAGAGATTGAATTGAAGAGCCGATACCCAATGGCAAAGTAGTTTGTTGGAGGCTACCGCAGAAGTTAGGAGATTAGGTATCCAATAGATTAATAAGACGCAGATGTATATAAGTGTATCCGGGCAACTTGGTGGTTTAGAATTAACGGCAGGAATATAGAAGTCACAAAAGATCGCTTATATGTAGTAATACAGATAAATTAACAGATTCATAAAGTTATAGTGGTGGGTTCATAATTGAGTTAGCTAAATGAAAAGTATATTGACACATTAAGCATAGCATCCAAGCGGTGATTTGAAGTCCTGAGGGCCAAGTCAGAGGTCACAGCACGAGGAGGTGAAGAACGTATTGGAGAGCCGGTGCACCAGGGCGGAGTATCAAGATAAAACATCTCCAAGAATAGAGGGTACCTGAGATTTAAGGAGAAGTAAGAAAGGAGAAAGGTATGGCTTTACTGCCTTTCCCGACAATCAGTGTCATAAGTATCTTATTAGTTTTGAGTTTGCCTGGCCAGTCAAGAGCCAGATAATGTTTCCAAATCCAAATGTTAAGCAACATGCTGCTAAAGCATCAAGGGACAATGTTTCCGACAAAAAGTCTGGTTTCTATGGGTATAGCATATA